CTAACATTTTAAGGTGTATTTTTTCGTCATATTAATATGCAAAAAATTGTAATTTATAATACTTTTCATATTATTTTTTTTGTTTAAAATATCGAATTAATGTGATCCAATTTACCTTTAAAAATTAGTCAAATTGACTTTCGATAAACGCAACATGATAAACAATTCCGGACGAAGGGAGCATCTGACTTTGTTCCGTATTTTTAAAAAGACACCTTAACTATACCAACGCTCTATTACTTCACTAAACAATCTTGAACTGATATTACCATGATTACAAAATTAAAGTATCTTTTCTTATAAAACTAAGTTACTGTGTATAATTTAAGGAGACACATATTTTGACTGATGGGTTTATTTATGCATTCTTAAGAATGTACAACAAATACTTTTTAAAATTTGAGCCAGGATAATACCTAATAACTCATTGAATGATTAACACATTAATTTATGTAATATCTCAAATGATAATATCACTTGATTTTTTTTTTCAAACTAAATATTTCAAAAGCTAGCAATATCAATCAACTTTCATATTTTTATCTTTTTATACTGTCCAATAAGTACATCAAGAGAAGTGATGATGATAATCAATTATATATAAAAAAAATTCCATCAAAAATATAAATGTTATGTCATTTAATACAACTAAAAAAAATTCAAACTCCACTTAACAAATGAATAGCATATAGAACTTATTTATTATATCTCAATTAAATTAAAATATGTCATAATTTAAATATCTAAAAATATAAATAAAAAGAATTTCAATATCTCACCTCAAACCACAATTCTTTAGCCACATGTCCTCCCTCACCATCCAATTACTCAAATCTCTTGGCTTCCTTTCATTTGCTAAGTTTCCTCCCCAATTTTTTCTTTTTTATTTTTTTTTAAAAACCATCTTCATCTTCTTTTTTGCCTCTTCCAGCCTGTTCTTTTCATATTTTTTTAATTATATTATATCTTTCTCTAATGATTTGCCACCATTTTCATTATTAAATTCCCCCTTTTTTTAATTTTTTTCTTTTGTCTCCTTTCCCTTTCTCTATTTATCTATTCTCCCTTCACCTCATATTTTCTTCATTTAGTTTTCACAATTGAATTAATTTTCGTGCTTTTTGATATCGAAGAGAAATCGATATAATTATGGCGGAAGAACATGGATTTGAAGCACCAGAAGGACATATATTATGCGCTAATAACTGTGGTTTCTTTGGTAGCCCAACAACGCAAAATTTCTGCTCCAAATGTTACAATGAAGTTTACATAAAAGGGGGACAACAAAAACCTATTGATTCCCTTTTTCCTCCTTCGCAGCTGCCGATTCCATCAACCTCATCGATACTGGTGCTGCAGGAATCGACAGCTGCGGAGGAAGAACCTGAGGTTGTGACCGCGGCTGTAACAGTCGCGGTCCAACCGATTTCTGCACAGCCGAACAGATGTTCGGCCTGCAGGAAGAAGGTGGGATTGACAGGGTTCAAGTGCAGATGTGGGACCACGTTTTGTGGGACCCATCGGTACCCGGAGATCCATGGATGCTCGTTTGATTTCAAATCTATCGGAAGAGAAGCCATTGCTAAGGCGAATCCGGTGGTTAAAGCAGAGAAATTGGGGAAGATATAATCACAGCCGTTGAATTTAGATGATGAAATCTCGTCGGAAAATGACGTCATGTGAATTAAATATTACTGTATCAATTTATGGGGACCAAAATGGAAATAGAGAAAAAAATCTTGAGGGTCATGTGTCCCATTGTTGACAAAAAAAAAAAGTGAATTAATTAGTGTATATTTTTATTTTATTTTTGTTATTATTTTTTTTTTAATCTTTTGCTTGGAAAATAATTTATGATTTGGCTTGTTTTGTAGATTTCAACTTTTACTATCTTTGGAATTTGGATATTCCCTCTCCATTGAGGTTTTCACCATGCAATATTGGTTAAATAAATAAAGATAATGAAAGTTATACAAATTTTATGTAAATGTCAAATTTCCTGATTTTCTTATTTGTTAATGTTACTTTATGAACTAATTTTCTAAAGTCTTTTAATATATTTCACATGAGTGAAATCTAGAGAGGAAAAAATGTACGTAGGTCTTATTTTTACTTCAAGTTAATTGTTTATATTTTCTGCTCAAATATAACTATCTTATGCTATAGAAAAAGATAATAAAAATAAAAGTAATCAAAAGACAAAAAATGCATACTGTAATAGAATAAAAAAGAATTAATTGCAACTTAATTTAGTGTGATTTGATATAGTGTGATTTGATAAGAATGTTAAAAATTGGAACCTCTCCACTTTGTATGCCAAAAGATCCTCTAAAGGTATATATAAAATCATTACCAATTTATCATCAAAAAAAATTAAATGTGCTTCATGTTTTTATTTTTGAAATTTAATAAAAACAACAATTTTTGAACTGTAATTTACATCTCGTACTTTTCTTAGTTTAAAACTTTAGATAATCTTTTGTTACAGGATAGAAATAATAAATTAGTTTATGGAAAAAAAATTACTAAAAGTAAATTAGCCATCAACTTTATAATAGAAAATTTCTTTGTTTATTTTAATTATAATAACAATTGAGTACCTAACAAGCATGACATAGTTATGACACATGTCCTAATCCTTTACCAAAGAAAAAAATAATCAAAGATTTAGGATAAAACCTTTCTTAAGTGGTCAAAAAAATAAATAATTGGTATATTCAAATAGTAGAAAAATGAAAATGACTGATATTTTATTTTTTTGTTGGCATTTATCAATTGGTAGCATTTTTATTTATAGCTTTCTCATAATTCTATTTGGTGATGGCCTTATGTGGCTCCTCTTTTGTGGCTATGATCAATATAATAAAAGATAAGAATAAAGAAGCACAAACATAACACGTAGCTTTTGAAAATAAAATCAAATATATCCTCATTGCTATTAGAAGTAATTTTGAAATACCTTTTGTTTGAATGTGTTCAATTATGATCCTTTATTTGAGTATGCTTTAAAATTATTTTTAATAGTGTATAAGTATGATAATAGTGGTACGAATCTAGATTTAGATGAAATAATTCGATATAAGAATGATAATAATGATATGGATCTAGATTAATAATAAAGTGATCCGATTTTAGACGTGTAAGATGATTCAGTTTTAGATATGTGTAAAGGTAAAATTGGATAAATCTAAAAATAGATTACTTATATGTGTATATTGTAAAATGAATGTGTCTATATATTGCACATTTGCACTTCTAACTCACTATCAATTGTGTACTTCATTCACTTACAATATAATTTTAGGCAAACATATTTTAAGTTTGATCTTGTTATGATTATTGTGTTGATTAAACTTATCTGAAATTAGCATTGGTAATTAAGTTAAAATAAAATTTTAATAAATAAAGTTTGAAATTTGGTTTTGTAAACTAGTTCATAATTTTGATTAGAAGTCTCCGACATTAGTTTATTATATCAAATTTCAAATTAAAATTTCTGATATTAGTCTCTAACAAGGATATACTACAGATAAAAATATTAAAAGTCGTAAATTTTCAATTTCAATCATGTACAAATAAAGTCAAAATATATAAACTTGCAACAAACAAAAAAAAATACAAACATAAGTTAAATATTACTCCAAAAAATTTTGACCTAGCTTAACAATCATTTAAAATTGTAGCTGCTTTAATAAAATTGCTAGATAAAATTTTATTACTCATAGGTATAAGTCGTGGACATAAATTATTTTTAACTATAAGGTAAATACAAATTTCTCATGATATGTCAAGAGAATGAACTTAGTTAATTAACTACAAATTAGACAAAAACTAAAACTTATATAAGATATAAATAACAAAATTCTTTCTCGAGTTAAAGATTATACTTTAAATAATGTGAAACTTTAAAATTGAACACTTTTAAAAATATCACGCGTTATATAAGATGAGCTAAAGAAATAAAATACATTTACATAGTCTTAAATGGATGCACCTAATCATATATATATATATGTGTGTGTAAAAATGTTCTTTCTTCTTTGAATTTTTGAATACCCATTCATTAATTGTTGAACGAATTTTCTATTCTATAGACTTTTATCACATAAATATTATATTGAATATATTACTAATCAAACAATATAGTGAACATTTAGGAACTAAATAGCAAAATACTAGTAAAATTCTAATAACATACTACCAAATTTATAATTTAGTGATATCAATAAAAAACATTGGTACCATAAATGTGAATTCAATTCTCACTATCTTCTTAGCATCTTCATAGTTAACTTGTTATGTACTTTATAATCATGCAATTAAATAGGTAGAAAAATTATAAAATAAAGTTCTTGTGGCGTGGCTCTGACGTATCAGGCTGCTAATTATTAATATAATATTTAATTAATAATATTAATAATTAGAAAATGTGTGATAAATATCCTCCCATGTGGTTGTTACTGTTAGCTCTACTTCTACTGACCTTTTTATTTTATTTTTTGTTTGGTTCTAGTGAAAGTAAAATTACGTGTTCGTTTTAATTTATTTATCTTTATATAATTCATTATAATCAAAAGTTACTTTTTAAATTTAGGATTTTAAAACTAAATATGTGAAATATATGAATAAAAAAGTATACAAAACAACAGATCACCGATTAAAATGTACTAATTACATAAAAATTATTTATTCCATCAATGATTTTTTTTTCTTTGGAGTATAACTTTATAAATTTGTTTACACTTTTAAAAAGAATTAATCATAAAGATAAAATATTTTTTTAAGAAATTAATTCTATATTGAATTTCTTAATCGACAGACAATTTCTAAATTAAAGTGAACAACTGATATAGAACGAGAGAGTAGTATCTAATTAGTTTAGAAGATAATTGAAGATTTGTTGAAGAGCGTTCTACTAATTAACCCATTTTCCACCAACCAAACCCCACAAATCTTACTATAAATAACTATATTATTCCTAAATCTCCAAAATTAAGACACAAAACAATATGGCTCTAGTCTCTAATCAACAACTCAAAGAAGAAATCAAAATTCTTATTGATTATTTGCCAAAAGAAGAAGAAGAAGAAGATGAAGAATTTTTTGAGATAGATTTGGAATTAGTGAATAATTATTTTTCAACACCCCATAATTATAATTGGGAAAGTTATTTTAGAGCAACAACAACTAGTTCTTGTACTCTTCTAGCTAATTGTTTGTTGCCTATTGCTGATGTTTCATGTGCTATTCCTATCACAACTAAAGCTTGTGATGCCTTCATTTCATTACCACCAAGTGGTGGTTCATCGTTTTCGAGATTTTAAGCTTATGAGTTCTGAAACGCAGACGTATTTACTTGGTTCTTGAAAAAGTGATTTACATGTGTACTAAGTGAATCTTAATACAAAGTATTGAATTTGAACCAAAATTATTGAGTTCTGCTTAACATATAACAGATTCAAACATGATACCAACATTGTTTGTTCCCTTGGCTACTATAGCAGAATATTATTATAAACCAAAATTATTGAGTTCTGCTGAACATACAGAAGATTCAAACATGATGTCAACAACATTGTCTGTTCCCTTGGCTACTATAGCAGAATATTGTTATAATTAAGAAAAAACATAGGAGTATAATATAACATAAATTGAGAGATCGATTCTATAGAAAGTTATAGAAAGATCTGACTATTAGTTTTTGCTTACTTTGTAGATCTTGAACATTATAAGCTTCAAATGCTGAATTTGCCTCTGATCGATCAGGAGGAACCAAAGCTGCAACCAATGTGTTCTTGAGTAATCATGTGGAGTCGATCTTGCATGATAGACTCGGACTTATAAGGAGGAAAATGCAAGGAGTAGAAGCAGGTTTGTGAAGTAGGCAAGTGGTCAGAAGGTGCCGAGCTTTTGTGGATCTTAAGCCTTGAGCCCAAACCAGCAAAACCATCCGGAGGCAGAAACTTGATTGAAGTCCAGAAGAAGAGGAGCACGTTTCTCTGCTCAACAGACATACACTCGACTATCTGCATGTAAAGAAAGATAACAAACATGGCAGAGCGTCCTGAATAATGGACTCGTTTGCAAGCAGAGTCTCACGAATCATGCTTCAATTGTGTCATTAACTGTTCCTATTAGACACCTTTTCAGCTAATTTCTACACGTATATGCTCAAACGTTCATCACATATATTAGTTAATTAATCATGTAAAATATGTCTTGAGTGAAAAATTTACTACTTTTTACAAGTAATTCAAACTACTAGTAGAGAGGAGTCATGTACCTTCCAGAACCAGGATATTTGACAATCACTTTTGTTGTAGCCAGAGTAATCAGTATGTGCTTTCCAATCTTCAACAGAAATATCATTTCCACTACCATCAAGCATTAAGTCGAGTTCCTCAAGATTAAGACACCGGAAAAAGGGCTGGTGCTCTGATGTGATTGTAACATCCGCAAAACCATTGGCAAAACACGCAACCTGATCTGCAACTGATGTTACAAAGTAATGTTCAATAAGAAGATTAATATATTCATCCCGATTCTTACTGTCCACAATGGTATCTTTCCCATTGGGACAAAGCTCGATCTCTTTCTTAGAGCCCAACGACTCAACATCACAAATGAACCTCAAGCCTAGATTATCTCCGTCCAACATCTCTGGATCCATTTCTAGTATTTCCTTACAGCTCTTGTAAAAGGGTGGATCCGCATCCCTAACATCTTCCAACGTTATGTCTTTCCCAGCCAATTGCAAATAGAAGGTGCGATCAAACACAATACCGATTTGTATTTTATGCGTTAAAGTCAACGCAATCATCCTACCAGAGAACCAGAAGTAATCAAGGTGTAATGGTTTAACCTTAGATGCTGCAAACACAAATTGTAGATGTGTGTTAATATTAGCGATGAGATTTATAATAGCTTCTTGAATATCCTCGAATACTAGAAGATGTAAAAACACATTTATCTTTATAAGAGAGGTGCATTTGGAGGGATGTTACAACCGGGGGTTTGTGGTTGCTCCATTTTCTTTCAGTCAAGTAACTTACGCTTATCCTTATCGACATCCATTCATATTGAACCAAATAGCAAAATTAGAACCAAATGCTAGCAAAATGTCAAAGTGCATAAATGAAATAAAAGCTTACCTGAATTTGGAAAAAACCTTCTACGATCATTTGGGCAAGCAACAAAGAGAGCATTCTGAGGGTTAAACATCGCTTGGCATACCAATAAAAACCACTCCCTCAACACACCAGGCCCAGTAGCTTCTTCATGTTTGAATTTAATAAACAAACAACCATGCAGATTCTTACGAGTTGCAGTTATAATGTACTCAAACGAACTTTCCAGCAATTGAGACCTGTCAATGAACATGCTGTACAGCCCATCGCCGTCTATAACTTCTGGAAGCATCATTATTGCCAAATGTCTCCGTCCCTCAAAACTCAGTACCTCCTTGTGCTCGAAAAGCCATCCATAATCTTCTAATTTAGTTGCAAACTTAACTACCAAAAAGCACAATGAAGCCTTTACTTGCCTCATCTTTTGCCAAAACACATTCTCCATGCCCGTATACAGTTTTGAGATATTGTTTAACTCCTTTAGAAGTGTAAGATACAGAGACCACCATTGTACAACTCGCACATCTTCTACTTCCTCTTTCAAACCCAACCGGGTTTCCAAAAGCCCTAAAGACAACAGCGTTGCTTTTAGCAAACCACGGAAAGAATAATATAAACACTCAATACTCTGTCTGTAATACTCTGCGTCACCGGTGTCATTCTTTATCAACGGATAAGTTATTGTAGAGCCAAATGGTACTTGAAACCATATGGCATTCCGCACTGGAAACATAAAACCAGCAAAATTATGCACAAGGCTATACGATAATGACAAAGGAGCTGATCCCATAGTCAAATTTAAGTTATGGTATAATTTAACAGCTATCTCACGAACAAATGGTAAAACATCCTGCAATGATATGAACTTCTTTGTATCAGCCTCGCATCTTGCGATTCCTACGAGCGCTATGATATCACGGAGGCTACTCCGACAAAAGATATACAAATCATCTTCAATCCCAGCATCTCTCAAACTCTTACAAAATTCTAAGATGATAGCATATGTACTATACATTGGTGTAAGGGACTCACTGTCAAATGAATTTATAATTTGACGAATACATTTATCAGCAACAATTTTATTGTCTAGATATGGAGACGTATAAAGCATTACCAGAGCTGCTGGAATAGAGGATGAAATAAAAATTTCAAGGTATTCAGAGGCTTCATCAATGTCATGAGGAATCATAATCAAAATCTGTATGAGCACATCTTCTAGATGATCCTTGTCATTCTGAATCAAATAGAATTCGCTTTTGCAAAATCCCCAAATTAATGAAGACAATTCATTCATGAGCTTCCAAGCGTGAGAATACTTTGTGCTCCTCAATCGGCCGACGAGTTGCAAGTTGGATTCCATGTTAATTCCACAATCCGATATCGTCTGGTCTACTCGAAGCTGTTTGCCCTGGTAAATTAAGCGCTGGACAGATGCGGGAATTCGGGTCATCAAACTGATTTTCTCGTGAATTACTTCCACTCTATCCGTCGAATCGGCTTGAACAACTAGAGTTTTTCCACCAGAAAATAAACGGACAAAGAACTGAATCCGATTCATCTTAACGCTGAATCGATCGATAGGAACTAAGGAAAGACAGTTTGAGAAATGGATGTGGAGTGTGAAAAAGGTAAGGGAGAAAGTTCATTTAAAGTTGTGGGAAGACAAATATGGAATAAGAAAAATTAAGAAATTAGTCCCTTTAATATATTTTAAAACCGTTTTAAGTCTTATAAGTTAGAAAAAGTGAAAGTTTAGTCTTCTTAAGTATTTAAGAAATCCTGTTTCTATTAGAATTGCTTTAAAAAGATAGAGATCCCTTATTAAAAAGTGTTAAAAAAAAAGTCACTTAATGTGATTGTAGATCATATACTTAAAGACAAAGAAAGGATCATGCTAACTCTTTAGAGTGTATACAAGTGTAGATAGAATGAAGTGAGGGGATAAAATAATAAGAATTATGCAACCTTTAAAATCGACGCTAGACACTAGATATAAATCAAAAATAGTATCAACTATAAAAATTGCACCTCTAAGATATGAGCTTTTGATAAATAAATCTTCATAATATATATGACGATGAGGAAAAGGCTTACTATTGACAACTTAAAGGACTAAGATTGACAATTCGCATGACAATAATGGGAATACCACTTCTCATCTTCACTAAACAGGGCTGCAAAACAAACGAGTAACAAAGGAGAAGGTGAATAGGGTTCCATCAATCAGAACCAAGGTTGTATTTACAACAACATACCTAGTGTAATCCCACAAGTGGGGTCTGGAGAAGGTGGAGTAGGTAGAGTGTACGTAGACCTCACCCCTACCTCGTAGAGATAGAGAGGTTATTTCCGATAGAGCCTCAGCTCAAGTATCACATCTCAAAGCAGTTTGTAAATGAGAATACATAAATGATAGCAGTAACAATACCAAAATAGAGCGTTATGGAAAGCAGTACATAACATACAGAGATGATATCTGCTAATTTCTACTTCTTGTGAAGGGGGATTCACTCCCTTTACATGGCAATAATAAGGTGACAGTCTTTTTCCTCGTTTCTTCAGCGAGTACGTAGTTGAATTTAGCAGTATATATTAGAAAAGCTAAAACATGGAAAAAAAGACTAAACTTCATTACAACAAGATGAAACAGACAAGCAGAAAAAATAAAGAAAAGGAGAAGTTACAATAAGAATACCACAACTGTGAACACTATGCGAACTTGAGTTGAAAGAATAGGGTAAGTAACAATGCTGAAGCACAACTTAAACTAAAACAGGAACACAGCATGGTAACCACGTAATAACAGAAACAATCACCACAAAGGATCGTCATGTACCTCCTTCAGCTATTAACATTTGAACAAAAATGTGAATTCCAAGGCTGGGTACAGTTGCTCAAATCTATTCATATTCAAACTGAACATCTATCTTCAAATACTTCTTCATTAGCCTTACAATAAAGGATGTGAATTTTGCTAATGTTTGGCATTCTTCGTGTGTTTTGGTTTCTGAAACAACCCCATGAATCACTAACTTCCTTAGATTAGGGCATCTTTCCAATAGCCCGGCTACCCACTGTGAAAAGAGGTCACTGATCACCGTCCAACCAAGCTCCAATACAACCACATTTTCCAATTGAAAAGAACCCTGCAATCCATACTGAATTACTGCCTCTCTTAGTTCATAGCTCAAGGAGAGATGAGTTAGATGCGGAAAGCAAGCAGAAATTGTCTCAATATCAACAACCTCATCATCATCATCAAACACAACTGCCCATAGCCTCAGTCTTCTCAGTTTTGATGACTTTGCTATCATATGATGGAACTTGGACCACATGATAGTGAAATTGCTGACATCCACAATCTCAAGATTCTCAGCGCTATCACCAATATCAAGATGGATGACGCTAACATCATCAATCTTAAGGAGTCTTAACTTCCCCTTGCTGACAAGCTCAAAGACCTCAAGTGTACAATCTTTTAACTGCAATTTCTCAAGGCTATCTGCCTCCAGAATGATTTTATCCAAACTAATGGCTTCGACATAGATATCTTTCAAAGAGTTAGTACTCAGCTCCATTGAGGCATGCGGATCAGACATAACAATATCCAGACTTATAAGGCTCAAGACCTCAACTTTCGGGCAGGCTGTGAGAAAAATACTGAGGTCCAACGCTGATACACTGACATAGCTCAGTGAAAGAGACCTCAAGCAAGGAAATTTTTGGTAACTAGGTTCAACACCCGTAATCGTATTGTGTGCCAGACCCAATACTTCCAGTCTCTGGCGACCACATATCTCAAGAATATTAATGTTTGGTGTAGTCCTGACATTATAGTGTAACTCACGCAAAGTTTCTCTCGTGTACATTAGCCAAGCAATCACCGGAGCAGCAGAGAACTCATCCACATCATCCATCATAATTGACAGACACTGTAATCCATTAGTCTGGAATATTGTCTGTGTCACAATTATCTCTAGTCTGCTCCTTGTAAGCTCATGATAAAGAGGCCAGTCATTTGAATTAAACGTGAGTGTGTGAAGATGATTTCTCCAAGCCTCTCGCCATTTCCGGCAAGTAGAAGATGCAATCACTACATCTCGTGCAGCTCCTAACCGAGACAATATGTTGCCAATAACCTCAACAGGAAGGTGCTCCATAGCCTTCATACAGAAAAACAAATCAAAAGGCCACCAGAAGTAAAGAAAAAAAAACGCTACAACCTAATAAATCCAACTGAGCCACTAAAACCTCCAAACTTCACAGATATATTAGGCATGTTTAAAGTCAAGAATCATCTAACTCTCAGCAACCAAATGATATCCAAAATCAGATGGAAAAAAAAACTAAAAGTAGACCAATCTTACAGCTTCACAACTAAAAAGTAGACCAAACCCAAACTTCACAGCTACATTACTGTTCAAACTGAGAGTAACAGTAGATCACAGACCAATCTTCAGGGGAAAGTAGACCAAAAGATGAAATATCAGGCAACCCAATTAATGATCCATCAAATTATATAATCAACCAATGACAGATTTCTTGATTTCACAACCATCTACTTCAAAACCCCAAATCAAAACAAAACAAAAAAAGAAAACTCAAAAGATTTCACCTTTTTGGGCAAAGGCAACAATCCCATTAACACCTCATCAATTTCCCATCCTGCAACCAAAAAAATCAAAACTTTAACAAACCCCACACATATTCATAAAAAAAAGGATACATAACATGGATGTTGAAGGAATTAAACCAAAAAAAAAACAAGAATATGTCCAACTTACAACAAGAATCAAGTAAAAGATCACGACCCAGAATCAGAAATGAATCGATTGAGGTAAATTATAAGCCCCGTCGATCAAAAGGGGATGGAAATCTGAAAAAAAAAAATTGGAGAAAATTGTTCAAACAAGATGGTGGAAGAAAGGCAGCACAGACACACACAGTGAGTGGTGTGCTGTGTGCAATATGCTATACAGGTGAGACCCACGTCAAGTAGCCAGTTATATTGAATCTTTTTTAAATACAAATTTTTCAGTGTTTTGTTTATATTTTAAATTTAATTCAATAAAGTAACACTATTTTATACGAATTACAATGAATGATTATATATATAATATATAATCATATATAGTTAGTGATATATGTCTGATGCTGGATAATTTATGAATAACTTCTTAAGACAGTAATTACAGTCGAGGACGATAATTTTTGATAGTAGACGATACTCTTCTGTCTACATTTATTTGTTATATTGAGTTTTTTAAAATTAATTTGATTAATTTCAAAGTTATCTTAGTCAGAGTTTTGTCGTATGCCCTAATCCATCTAGCAACAGATGAACTTTTCATATTGCCAATTTGTTGCAACATTGTTTAGGAGTAATGCCTTCTATCAAGTAATGCATAGTGGTTCATTGGCATGGAAACATATTCTTTTTGGTAATAAATATATTTTATATTAACGCAGGTAATTATGTTAATAATATCTAGTTATTGAATATAGTCCCAATATATCAGCAGCTAAGCAACAACATAGGATCTACAGTTTAATGACAGTAATTAAGTTTTGCGATCCAACTAGCTATCTTGACCTTCAAACTATCTCGTATCACTATTATTCATATAATTTGCCTTGTGAGAACCACGAGAATTATCTTCTTGGTCTGACTCGATTATTCTTTTTTTACGATATCGTATTCATTGTACCAGCTATATACAGTAATCCTAAATAGCGTGCATTAGCATGAGTCTCAACCAGGAATGAGTTAACGTAGGGTAAGGGCTGTCAAGCGACATTTCTTCATTAGAAAATTACATTGTATATAGTTCGAAATTTGATTTAATGAATATACATATAAGTGTTGACACATCTTGACATAAATTGAAAGTTTAATGTAGTGGTTTATGGGTTGCAAAAGTAGTTTGAGGTTGTGTGTTCCATCCTTGATAGCAAAATTATGGCTCCGCTACTGGTATCAATCCAACACAATCCCTTTATCCATTTCATCATGTTCCTATTATGTCCTTGCTACTTTATATTTTGACATTCCTTAATTAAAAAAATGTGGCTTCACCATTGGTCTTGATCCAACGCACTTTATTTGTCCATTTCATTGTGTTCCCATTATGTCTTTGCCGCTTTATATTTTGACATTTCTTAATAAAAATTTTTGACTTCACCACTGGTCTTGATCCAATGCACTTTCTTTGTCCATTTCACTGTGTTCCTATTATATCCTCACCAGCGCAGGGCAAACAACGACTAGTTCATTCCTCTTGTGCTTTACATCAATGGAGTAGCCGGAATAACAACTAAGGAGTGTCAAAATATAAAAACGTAAAAATGTGTAGAAGTCGAAGAGTGTCAATATGTAGTATATATATATATATATATATATTTTTTTTACCTAGCTATGCAGTATAATTTTTCGACGAAAGGCTCCATCGTTGCTTCACACAAAGGGTAGACATTTTGATCAACCAACTTACACTTCAACAGTCAGTCTCTAGGGTATAGTCTTTTGAGATTGACATACAGAATATGAAAATCCACTTGGGAGCTTCAAAGTTGTTGCATACCAATCTCTGCTGCTATATTTTCTGATAAGTACCTCTAAGTTTTGCATACACCTGCTTCATGGAGAATTGCTAATCACCTTAATGAAATTTGCCTAATCACCTTTACTTCGGACAGTTCTTTCATCGAGATCCTATTTACTTATAAATACTTATAAAAAAAAAGCAATTTCCATATACAATTTAGTCAAATAAAAACAATTATAAGAATTAATAAAGCAAACTAAAAGAATATCACTAACTAACAATTGCTTGACTCAAATAAGTGATAAAAAAAAACCCTAATATATGTGTGACTATGCTTGACTTAAAGAAATATCTAATATAAACAAATTTTTACTCTCTTTAATTATCATATTTTTCTTAATATTTTTTTTTAAAAAAAAGTAACTTAAGTTAGGGTGATTCTCAAGCAATTCTTGTGAAGTATTTTACAAAAAAGTTGATATTTTTATCAAAATGGACACTGAAATTGCTAAAATCCAGTTTTTCTTACTATAGCTTATACACTAAAATAATAAAATAGCAAAAAATCCCTTCTCTTTTTTTTTTATCACTGAAAACTTCGCCTCTCTCGCTGTAAATGCTGCGAATTATTCTGTAAGTATTTGTTTCCAAGAATCTCTCTACTTCTTGCTAAAGTTACAATCTTGCTACAATTTCTGTAATTTTAAGGTTTTCAGTTCTATCTTGCTTTGTTTGGGGGGGGGGGGGAATGGTAGAAATGTATGAAGTTTTGAGCTTTATCTGTTGGCATTATGGTTTATGTTATCTTCTTGTTGCAAGTTTTAATGGGTTTGTACATTGGGGGTGGGGGGTGTTTGGGTATTGGAGCCCTTTTACAAATTTCCCCTGATTGTCTGTTTTCTTGATTTTTTTTCAATTGACAGGTGCTGAAAGAAAGTTTTGGGGTTGAAATTCAGTTATAGTGAGGTGGGGTTGTGATATTTTTGGGGAATTAGTAGATTAAGTTGATTTTGGATAGTGGGTTTTTTGAGTTTGGGTATGGCTAGTTGTACATCAGCTGTGTTTGTGCCTCTGGATACTCGATTGCGGAATGGGGTGTTAACTGTTCTTGCAAGAAGAGTTTGTCCTTTGAAAATGCAGGATGAGAAAGTTGGATACTTGAGTGTTAACCAAAAGGGTATTTCAAGTTGTCCACAGTTCAAGTGTTCAGCTAATTCACATAGGTTCAATAATTATCAAAGTAAGGACTCGTTTCTAAATCTGCATCCTGAAATTTCGATGCTTCAAGGTGAAGGAAACCATACTTTCACTACCTCTAGACAGGAAAGCTCGAGTGGAGGTGTTGCCGAGAGCTTAATGGACTCATCTAGTTTGAAGAATTTCAATGAGGCTAAGATTAAGGTGGTTGGTGTAGGAGGTGGTGGATCAAATGCAGTTAATCGGATGATTGAGAGCTCTATGAATGGCGTGGAGTTTTGGATTGTGAATACTGATATTCAGGCAATTAGGATGTCGCCTGTGTTTCCTGAGAATCGATTGCCAATAGGCCAAGAGCTCACGAGAGGACTAGGTGCAGGTGGTAATCCAGATATAGGGATGAATGCTGCCAAAGAAAGCAAGGAGGCTATCGAAGAAGCAGTTCGCGGTGCAGATATGGTTTTTGTGACTGTAAGTTCAGCTTTTGTTTAGGACTATAAGTTCAAGTTGTTTAGCTTTATGCTAACTTTACTTTGATGCTTTGTCATATCTTTTTTTGTCTTCTCAGTTTCTCGGTTTCATATGGTGTTGTACTAGATTCTTTGTTTTTTCATTCTTCAATAACAGATACTGCGATAAAGTGCTTCCTTTCTAGCTATGAGGAATATATGAAACTCATAAGAGTTAATTGGTGATAACATGCAGAATCACCAAATGATCTTCATATAATTGCAGCTTGTTTGGATGATAGTTACCTATTGTACTGTTAGAGTAAATACCATGTTTTTGTTATCGTTACTTTAAATTATATTGTATCGTATCGTTAAATTCATTGTTATGTAACGATCAAAAGTCTCATTTTAAGTAACGACCGATCTTGTGTGATCGCGTTGTTACCTTATCTTTTTCTTCTCATTTAGTCTTTGTATATTTCCAATAATAATCTTATTTTAACCTTTACACTGCAATCTTATAATAGCTTTACCTGGTACCGTGCTTTTCTTGTAGGTTTGTCTTTCGAATTGCTAATGTGTTGTATTATGTTATTAGGGAAACGATAATATTTACTCAAACATTATATTCATCAAAACAATACAATAAAAACTATACATTATGAAACTATATGTAACAACCATCCATTAAAGGCAAGCTAATTGCAACACTATAACCAAACTCCAAATACTTTTTTTTTAACATATGGCTACTACCCCTTTAAAAGCATCTGGAAACGGTAAAAAGTGGCGGTTGAAGGGATTTCCATTTAGGCCTCATTTGTTTGCACTTAGTGATGGTCTTAGTCTTAATCATGTAGATATCAATCATTAAGTTTGTTATTTAGATCTGAATCTTAACCATTTGGTGCTCTTTTTTATTTTCCATGTCCCAACTATATAATGGGTCTGAATGATTATGATTTGTAACAAAGTCCCACTGTCATTAGGATGTCTGTCGAAAAATTTAAAAAGATGCAAGTTCACCGTTTCCATTTATTCACCGCTAACGCTATCGCCCACCATTATCATTTACTACCATCCGCAACCACAATCACCACTGATGTAAATCATTATAATCAACTATCACCACCACTAGCCACCATTACAATCATCACCGTCGACCACCATTACCATAACAACCAACAATCACTACTGAGTATGCCCACCATCGATCTATACTATATGTCATCAACCACTACTATCATGCATCACCACCATTAGCCGTCACTATCAATCCACCACAACTATCATCTGCCACCATCAACCACTACTGTCAACCACCTTCACTAACTAGCTACTATTCATAACCAACACCATTCCCAATCGGCACTCATAACCGCCGCCGCTAGTTAACACTACCACCAATCGCCAAACAATGTTTAATAATATTTCTTAATATAATATTAAATTAATTAGTACTTTATTGAATTTTTATATTTAAGCATTTTTTTTAAAATAACTTGTGGAACTACACCAGATGCGTTGTTGTATTAATTTTAAAATAAAGACCAGTTTTATACATTCATATGTTTAAAAAAATAAAAATCTTAATTAATTAGTATTTGGATCTTATTACAACATCTTAACAATTCAGATGTGTACTCAGACATCTAAATCTTAATACACATCTTAGTACTAAGATGTATATTTTAGACGTCTTATTCTTTAACAATTCAGGCGGTCTACCTTTAAGAGGAAAGTTTATTCTCTTGTCACTAATTGCTATAATTGTATTACATTCTTCCACTTCATCCCTTTAAGCTT